TTTGTTTGTTTGCTTGATTTCAGTGTCCTTTTATTGAGACAACTGGCCAATACAACGTCTGGTGCTGACATTTCTTCTTTCCCTGTGCCCCACCTGCCTGGAATGCCTTAGCACATCCTGAAATGAGAGCTTGGTTTAAGCTTCCTATCTGGGAGGGATCAGTAAACAAAGCTGTCATTCACCATCAGGACCCTATAGAGAGCAGAGCTGCACTGTTCTCAGGAGACAGTGAGATGTTAATCTCAAAAACTCTCTGGAATGATCAGTCTCATTTCAAAACAAAGACGGTGCATGCTAAGAAGGAATTTTTTTCTTTAATCAGAGAAGCATCCTGAAAAACAAATGGTCAGGCAGACTAGAGAGATGTCTAATCCATACAGAAAGCTGACCTCAGTTTGATGCTTTTGAAAGATTCATGATTTCACATGCATTGGCATTCTCTTCCCTGAGGCAGGTCCCCCTGACCCCTCCATGTCTTCAATGCATTGCTATGCCCCAAAACACCATTCCCTGGGGTCAGATTTTCTGTAATGCGCTTCTCCTCCCTTATCTTGGTTCCTCCTTGGATGGCACACCCATAGTCCATGACTGGCCTCATAAGAAACACATACATTTAGGTACAGTAGAGGTCTTAGAGGCCAACTAGTCCAATCTTCTCATTTTACAGATGAGGAAACTGAGGTTCTTATGCTCAAAGCCTTTCCAACTTTAGAGAAACTCAGATCTTTGCCACACAGGGATAAGGTATGAAAATATGAGCTTAGTGGAGGTTATAGAAGGCTAAGGAAGAAGATAGGTGGCAGCCAATCCCCAAAATAACATGTATGATTCTCAGGATATATTGAGTCTAGTTCAATATAGCACCACAATGAGGAAGGACCTGGAGAAGAGAAGACTTGGGGTGGGGGGAGGGGACGCCATATAAACCTTCAGGCATTTGAAGGGATTTCAGGGAACAGAGTTGTTTCATTTAGCCCCAGAAGGCAGGAATAAGGGCACAAGAGCGCCATGTGAAAGTCGCAAAGAGACAAACGTTGGGTCGTCGTGGTCGGGAAAATCTTGACAAATATGATTGTCCAAAAAGAGAGTTATCTCCACCAGCTGGAGAAGTGGTGATTTATTCTCAATTGGAGATCACAGGACGATAGACTTATGTTGTCAACAAGTATTTATTAAGTGCTTACTACATGCACACACTGTTCTAAGCATAAATACAGACAAAAAGAAGGACTTGCCCCCAGGGAACTTCAATTTTAATGTTAGAAGACACATATGAAATGGAGATAAAAAGATTGAGGATGTGGTAGGAAATTTCAAAGAGTAAACCATTGCTGGTGCCCGGGACCTTCTTAAAAATTGAGGTTCCAGAAAGAACTCGCCAATGGGAGAAAGGGGCCACAGGGGCATGGTAATACAAGGGAGTTGGAAGGAATTAGAGATAATTTGCTCTAACCCCTTCCTTTGGGCAAATGATGCCCAACCCAAGATCAGACAGAAAGTAATTGGGGGATGTAGGATTCAAACCCAAGCCCACATTCAGTCTTCTTTTCACTGGACCACACCATCTCTCTTTAAGCAGAGGTTGGATAACCACTTGTCAGGGCTGTTATAGTAGGGATTCCTTTCAGGAGTGGATAGGTCTGGATGGCTACCAAGATTCCTTCCAGCCCCGAGGCTGCTGCTATTCTATGAAATGCCAACAGAATGAATGAGTTAGTGAGTGAATGAATGAATGAATGAGTGAGTGAATGAGTGAATGAATGGCATGGCCCTTCTATTCATGGACGAGGCCTCCTAACCCTGGCCATCAGGGATATAAGAGAAGGAGCTGCCGACCCTAGAGGGAAGAAAGTAAACCCCAGAGGATGAAAAGAAGTTGAGAACGAGAGATTTGGGAAGAAGAGGGGTACGTTGGTGGTGGGAGGTGGAATGGTTGTTTGGAGGCAGCCACTGACCCTCTAGGTGATGCTTCTTCTCCTCTGTAGTTTCAGGGCTATTTCAGTCCAGACCTTATTGGCCACATGCAAGTGGGGGAAGAGGGAGGTGTTCCAGGTCAAAATTAACTTGAAAACCATAGAACAAGAAGGTTAATGGTCATGCAGAGCCAAAATCCACCCTCTGGCCAGACCTGCTCTGGTCTTGGCTTGTGAGCGTTGGGTTCCCATTGCCTTTCTTCTCCTGGATGCGGCACATGTTTGTAAGTCTCCAAACATAGGGGTTTGCCCTTGTAAGCTATAGAGTCTTGAGCTGAGCATATGAGGGCTAGGCTAGAATTGCCATTACTGTGGAGGGAGAACTAGAAAGAACTGGTCCTGAGGTCTCTCTGTCTAGTTGTTAAATCCAGGGAAAACGTTGGAACTCTGCCCAGATCCTGGGCCAAAGGAAACTCTCCACTCCTGCCATCCTGCTATGTGCGGCCTAGACAGTTAGGGTAAGACGAGATTAGACCCCGCCGAGGGCAGGAGAGGTGGTGGAAGGTTGGCTGGGGGAGTTACTGTGAAGATGCTGGTGGTGAAGCTTATATTCCATCATCACCACTGCAACATCATCAGGTCTTTCTCACCCTCCTCAACCCTATTCCACTCCAATCTAAGTAAATGGATTGGTTGGACTATGATCAGAGGCCTGAGTGAATTATACACAATAGCTGGAAACAAAGAAAGAGATATAGACCCAGAGAGATAGAGAAGTTAAGAAATAAATAGAGACAGAGCGACAAAAAAGAGAGACCGAGAGAGAAGACAGACATATAGAGATACATAAAAAAAAGAGAAGAAAGGGAGGAAGGGAAGAAGAGGGGAGAATGAAAAGGCAGAGAAGGGGAGAGAAGAGACTTTCCTCAATATATGGGGGATTTATTTGCTTGATAATTAGTATGCACTTAATATTAAACATCAGTAAAATTGCTAAAAGCTGACTTATAACCAGTAATACGCAAGGTTTCCTGAAAGCAAATTAGAGTTTATTTTGAAGTCTTATTGATAGCATAAAGGATGAAGGAAGACCATAAACAGCAAAGGAAATAATAAGAAATGAGAGGCACAAGATTGATGGGAGTTACCTCTGACATTTAATATCTGTGTGACTTTAGGTAAGTCATTTAACTCCCTGAGCCTCAGTTTCCTCATCTGCAGAGTTGGACTAGAGTTGGACTAGATCTCTGAGGTCCCTTCTGACTGCATCTATGACCCTATGGAGTATTCTGAGTACCAAATAACTCTGCAGACAAAAGTTTGGCCCTTGTACCCAGTGAGGGATAAACAATCAGGTAGATGGGGAAGAGGAGGGTAAAGGGGGAGGGGTGTCACAATCCAATGTGCACGAGGCTAGACGTACAAACAGGTCCACCTTGGTCATTTTAAATTGACTCAAAACTGTTGTGATAAAAGGGCCTAGGCCCAGAAATTTAGGGCACAGATCCAATAGAGAAGCTTTCTTGTTATTATAACCAAAGCCAGGAGAGATTGATTAAGTAATTTTGCAACTCTTGCCCAACATTGCTCCAACACATCAAGTCAAACAAGAGTTTTTGTACAAATGGGTTTAACTATTTGCCTGTTTTGTCTGGAACCATGGTACATTTGTCTGGAACGTGCTTCTGGATTGCTTGACATGACAGTCCCTGGTTCTGTTTCCTCTGGATCACTTCTGATACCTGAGAATTGGGATGATGGTACTTGCCCAAAGGCTAGAATTGAGTGGTGCCATTTTGAGTCCACAGCTGCCTCCTCATGGGGTGGGGAGAGGGGACACAAGGGGCCCCAGGTCCCAGAGTGTAAGTGGATCTTTGTTTATCATGCAAAGGTCAAGAAGGGGTCAACATAGATAGATCAGCTCAATGAAAATCAGGGTGTTCAAAGCACTCACAAATAAAGTGGAAAATTAAACCATGTGTTCCATCCCCTAGACTGGAAATATTAATTGGGAAGTCCATCATTGGGAAATTGTCACGTTATTTGTGGGTCACATGCTTTGGTCATTGTCCTCACCCCACTGAATTCTCCTGACCTTGCCACTCCCCATGAGCCAACAGGGATAGGTTTGTGTTGACAATTGGGTTTATTTCCCATCATTTCCCATCATTACCAAGCAGTCACCAGACACTTCATCTTCTAACTTGGGTATTTTCACTGGCTGTCCTCCATGCATGGAACTCTCTCTCTCCTCAAACCCACTCCTGGATTTGATGGCTTCCTTTAAGGCCCAGTTAAAATCCCACCTTGTACAGGAAGTCCTTCTTCATGCCTCTTAATTCTAGTACCTTTCTTCTGTTGATTATTTCCTATTTAGCCTGTATATAGATTGTTTGTGCATCATTGTTTGCATGTTGCCTCCCCCATTAGACTGTGGCATCCTTGACAGCAAAGACTACCTTTTACCCTTCTTTACCTACCTGGAGCTCAGTCCCAGTGCCTGGCACACAATGGTGCTTAATAAGATTTTTTTGATCAAAAGATGGCATCTTTCTGACCATCATCACACACAACTTCTCTCCTGAGCACTTCACCTGTTACAAACCAGAACTACAAAGTTCCCATTTTCCTACCTTCTTTGGGCATCCCTTCCCCACAGAAGGCGCTGTTTCCCCCATGCTTTGGATGCCTGCTTTTCCTACTGTCTCATGGTTTCTCCCATCCCTTCCCTGATCTGTATCCACTCTTCACAGCAATCTCAAGAATGAGGATTGTAAATCGTTTCAATCCTGCGTTACCATTCAGATGACACAGTGTAACTTCTGAGAAGAGCCCACTTAGGGATCAATGTGGAGGGTGTAGCTTTACTCTCATACCTCATCAAAGACCATGTTTCATCTTCACTCCATTTTGTTAACACAACAGAAATTCTTAGAACCTGTTGAGGTGAGAGGTGCACATCCATCGCACGTGAGCAGAAATGACTTTCTCCAATGTTTCCAAGGCTCTCTGTTCCCCACAATAGTCAGGTCAGAATACACCAAAAAGACAAAGTGTAAAGTAGTCAAAGAACTCATCATTTCCAACCTGGCACAGAGATCCTCCCCACAGTTGGGTGGTCCATTTCCATGATCAAACCATTGTGAAGCACCTGAAAGGAAGAACAGAGAGTCTTCAACACAGATGAAATCTTTCATCTCAAGGGATGGAAAAGATACCAGTGCAACTTACAGTGTTCATAAAGATTGGGAACACAACAGGCATTTAAAATTCCTTTTCACAAGTAAGTCCATCAAATATATGCCTTAATGAAAAAAAAATCAAGGAAAAAAAATAATTCTGCCTGTCTAATTCCTCCTTCTCCTTCAAGAGCAGCTACATGTCACCTCCTCAAGGAAGCCTTCTCTGATGTCACCATCAGTCAGAAATCTCTCTCCTCTCAACTAGAATGCTTGTCACTTTCTATTCTGTATTTTATGTTTCATTCATTAAAAATATTTATTGAGCACCTGGTATGTTCCAAACACTGTACTTGGAATTTGGAATGCAAAGATCAATATGAAACATCCTCTGCCCTCAAGGAGTTTACACTCTATTGTCATGAAACAACATGTATATGTATATTAGTAAACAGAAAATGGTTTTGGTTTTGGTATTTAGAGTGGATCTGCAATTTTACTGGTATAGAGAATCCCCAGGTGAGAAAACTCCTTCTGCCACTGAGACAGTAGGTGACTTACCCAGAATCACACAGTCAGCATACAAAACACATGTGAAATAAATACATAGCAATTTCTGCTTTTGGACACTAGCAATTGAGGGAATCAGGTCGGGGAGGCATTTAATACAGTAATATATTAGGTGTTAACATAGTAGGTGTTTAATATTTGTGTCTTGAATGATTGCACCAAGTTATCCACCCTCTGGGGAAGAATCCTAATATTATAGCATCTGGGTAAAGACGAGAATCTCACTTACAAAACATCAGGGAAGACATCAAGTACCTTAAATCTGGCCACTTCCAAGATCATGCAATGGCCATTTTCTGTCATAGAAGCAAGAAGCCTCCACGGCATCATGTGCTGCGTCCTCATCATTGCATTGGAAATGACAGTAGCAGATGTAGTGGAAGAGCTTACTGATGGTGAAAGGCAAGACCCAGGCATTCACACATTCAACAAAGTCTGTGTGGACTTAGGGGGGATATTCGTCATGCTATGTTCTACAGAGCCTCATTCAAAACAGGATGGTAAAAGTCCTCAGAAGGCCCTTTAGCCTGTCCCCTTGCCTCTGCAAAGAGACACTTCAATGGAGTATGCCAGATTAAATCATACCCATTTCTAAAAAAAAAAATCCAGAAAAGCTGACTTCACAACCTTCCCTTGATAATATATTGTACTACCTACAATCCCGATAGAAGCTCTTGAGGCAGCTAGGTGGCACAGTTGATAAAGAACTGGCCTAGAGTCAAGAAGACCTGAGTTCAAAACTAGCCTCACTTACTAGCTGTGTGACCTTGTAAGAAACTTAACCTCTGTCTACCTCAATTTCCTCAGCTATAAAATGGGGTTCCTGATAGCACCCACCTCCCAGGGTTGTTGTCAGGATCAAATAAGATACTATTTGTCAAATGCTTAGCCCAGCGCCTGACAAATAGTAGGGGCTTAATAAATGCATGTTTCCTTCCCTTCCCTTGTTGTCTAATTTAACATTTGCCAAGCAGCCTTTGATCAGTGTAAGGAGACACTAGGCATTTGTTATTCTTCTTAAAATACGACATTGTCTCATTAAGACTAATTCCCTTCTCTTAATTCAGCTAATCAAAGCCAACTCCAGTTATCTCCTCACACCTCCAATTCCCTCATCCCCTAGATCTATGCCATTTCTCATTCCAGCACAGAAGCCTAACAGTGGCCATAGTGCCTGGATAATAGCTCAATGAATTCACAGCAAACCTTATTCCACTTACATTCCTTTTATTGCCCCACCCTACCAGCTGTTTCTTCTCAAAACAACTTTGGCATCAACAGGCAATGGAGTGAGCGATGGGCTCACTATTGGGTCAGTGGATCTCCTGAGTGACTGGCATAAGAACACTCCAATCTTACAACCACTCAGCACCAGGTTGAGGTTACTCTGTAACTGATTCTCCTATTTTTCTTTTTTTTAATTTTTTATTAATTTATTTTGATTTATCAACAATCACTTCCATAAGCTTTTGAGTTTTATATTTTTCTCCCCCTCCCTCACTACCCCCCACCCCAAGACAGTGAGCAATCTGATCTAGACTATACATATACATTCCTATTAAACATATTTTCACATTAGTCATGTTGTAACGAAGAATTAGAACCAATAGGAGAAACCACCAGAAAGAGGAAACAAAACACAACAGAAGAAAAAAAAATAGCAAATAGTATGCTTCTATCTGCCTTCAAACTCCTTAGTTCTTTCTTTGGATGTGGATAGCATTTTCCATCACAAGACCCTTGGAGATGTCTTAGATCCTTGCATTGCTGAGAAGGGCTAAGTTTATCAACTTTAGTCATAGCACAACATGGCTGTTACTGTGTACATTCTCCAGGTTCTGCTCACTTCACTCAGCATCAGACTATACACATCTTTCCAAGTTTTTCTGAAGTCTGCCTGCTCATCATTTCTTATAGCACAGTAGTATTCCATTACATTCATACACCACAACTTGTTCAGCCATTCTCCAGTTGATGGGCATTGATTCTCCTATTTTTCATATCAGGTGCTATGTGGCACAGTGTGTAGAGCACTGAACCTGGAATCAGGAGGACTCATCTTCAGGAGTTCAAATTCTGCCTCAGACACTTACTAGCTGTGTCACCCTGGGCAAGTTACTTAACTCTCTTTGCCTCAGTTTCCTCATTTGTAAAGAGTTGAAGAAGGAAACCGTAAACCACCCCTATATCTCTTCCAAAAAACCCTCAAATAGGGTCATGAAGAGTTGGACGTAACTGAAATTACCGAACACATTTTTTATAAAGCCTGCTTTTTTGCTCTCCTTGATGTATTGCTTGTACATTGGGCTTCTGTCTTGACAGACTCAGTCAGCTAGACCCACACAGAGAATATGTTTGCAACCAGCTCCTATGACCGAGGTTGGATGTTGTATGGCTTCAAGTACACTTAGATGGATTCCTTCTGGGTGCTCCAAAGAGCTCATCTCCAAAGAGTCTCTTCAAAGACAGAATCCTACTTTGGGGGGCTCACAGCAGGATGAAAGGTCATATCCTTCCCTTTATTTCCTAGATAGGGCTGTCCTGAGAATGGAAATGATAGAGTCAGAGTCATAGGCATTTAGCAATTCCAACTAAGGGCAGAGACAAAAATCCCAGGTGAAATGCCTCTTTTAACAATGATCTGTCCACTTCCTCCTTCTTCCTTTGCCCTTCCTTGCCTCTCTAAGAAACACTATTCATTGCTCCATGGCTCATACTCAGAAAGATGAAAAGGAAGGCTCTGATTAAAATATAACTCAACTGAGGGTTCTGAAATTAATTAACACTGAAATTTAATCATCTGCCTAAAAGGTAAAGGTCAAGGGACATTACTCAAAGTTTCATGAAGATAAAATACCCAATGATCTCTAAATGCCTAATAGAAATAATCTTTTAAATATCTCATCTGGCTTCTACACTGATTGCTACAAAGAAATCAATGAATGAATGTATTAAGTACTTACTACACCCTGTAGAAGAGGTTTATGTCTGCTAAATTTTCCTCAATTCCTTTGCATTTGAAATAGTAAAGCTTAAACTGCAAGCTGGTCTTGGAGCCAGAAAGAAGAAAGGGGGCTTGTCCCACCTTTGTCACACACTGTGTGACCCTGGACAAGTCACTGAACGTCTCAATGCTAAGATTCAGAGAAGATGCTGATATGTGATATTAGGGAAAGTTCCCCATGGAGAACTTCCCAAACCAAGAAAATCACAGGTTTACTCTCTAGTCACTACTTCTATTCAAAAGTAATATAGGAACTCACAGGGTTTCAGAGTGGACAGGCCCTCAATGGTCAACTTGTCCTAAGGAAAAATGAACTCTGCAACATCTCAGACATCCCTCCCAACAGGGCGAACACCTCCCAAAACAGATACTGGAACCAACCAATCAAAAGCATTGGTTAAGTACCTACTGTGTGCCAGCAAAAGTGCTGGGGTTACAAACCCAGAACTGAAAAAGTTCTGCCCTCAATATACCACATAAGTATGACCAGGAGTGAAAAATACATGGGGGGGGGTGGAATATACATATACATACATATATTTTATATGTATCTGTATACATACAGACACACATTTTATATATGTGTCTATATACATATAGACACACATATTTACATAGGTGTGTATGTGTGTACGTATATTTACAGATATATAAATATGTGTGAATATATACACATACATATATAGATACAGATAAATATGTGTATATATTTGTGTGCATATGGAGGGGTAAGGCTGGCTCATCTGGTCTTTCCAAACCTTCCTAAAATGTATCATGCAGAATAGGGATTCCCCATTCTAAGTCCTGATATGGCCATGTTGTCCACTGATAAGCCATGGGTATCACCAAGGAGTAAAATGTAAGGATGAAATGGACCAGAAGGCCCTGGCATCATGTGGCATGCTTTCTTGTCCCAAGTGGAACCAATCAGTCATCAACCCACTAAATCATCTGGTTAGCGCTATCTCAACCCCAAAGTGTAGGGGTGGAATGGGAGGTCATCTTGAGCTCCCGAAGAAACCTGTTTCTACTATATGAAGAAGGTCTGAGCTCAGTAAAGGGGGGAAGAGACCAGGGGCATGAGGCAGCACAAGGAAAGATGTCAAGGAGGCCACCTGGCCCCACTTTGTGCCCAGCACCTGAGGAGGGACATCCATAAATCACTTGCCCTGGGTAGGGAGCCTCAGGGAGGAGTCTTCTGTCAGGCTCCCTTCCTATGCCATGTTCACATTCAGAAGAGCGGTCCAATACACAAAGAGAATGATTATGACTTCAGAAACTAGTCCAGAGAAATACTTATTTTCAGAAACCAATCACCTCCTTTTTTGTTTTTTGTTTTAAATGATTTTCCTCTTTGGTGTTCATTGAATATCTTGTTTGCTTTCAGTTTTTAATCAT